GAGCCAAAGCGAAAAACGCAGCTGAATTGGAGAGAGAAAGGCTGGCAGCTGAAAGGGCGAGAGAAGAAAGAGAGGCAAAGGAGCGACAGCTGAAAGAAGAAAGAGAGGCGGAGATGGCTCAAAGGGAATGGCAGCGGCAGCACGAGATGGAACTCGAGCGGCTCCGTTTGCAACAACGAAGTGAAACTCCCGTCCAAGCTAGAGTTGAAAGCAGCGAACGGGAAGACCATGGCTTCCGCTTGAACCCAAGCAAACTAATGGTAGCGTTTGATGAAATGAAGGATGACCTTGATGGTACCTTCACAGATTTGAGACGATTGCAAGGAGCCAGAACTGGCCGGAACATCAATGGGCAACTGCTTTGAGTACCTGCTTGAGTGGCGAAGCGCTCAGTGCGTACGATAGGCTGACGCCGACTGATGCAGTCAACTATGCAAAGATGAAAGCTGCTTTACTGAAGCGATTTAGATTTACTGTGGAAGGTTTCCAGGACAGATATCGGACAGGAAAGCCAGCTGATGGTGAGAAGGCTACGCAGTACGCCGCCCGACTTGGCCATTATTTCGACAGGTGGATCGAACTTTCAGGCACAGCACAGGAGTATGATGAGCTTAGAGAGCTCCTAATTAGAGAGCAATTTCTTATCAGTTGCCACCCAAGCCTGTCGCTGTTTTTGAAAGAGAGGAAGCTGAATCACTTGAAGGTATGCTTGAATTGGCCTACCAATTCTTGGAAGCGCAAGGTGGCACAAATTTGCCCAAAGTCAAGGAGTGTCCCGAAGATTCGAAGAATTCGGTACTCGAACAAAAAAAGCGTGCACCGGAGAGTGTTCCGCAATGTTTTCTGTGTAACCGAGTGGGTCGTCGCGCGAACAGCTGTCGAACTATCTTTACGAGCCCTACTGTTGTAAAATGTTTCAAACGTGGTCAGACTGGACACAAGGCAGACGCATGTTGTAACGGAGCAAGTCAAACTCACCAGGTAGCCTGTGTGCACGTGGCACCAAAAACCCTTGATGACAATGTCACCTATGGATTCGTAGAGTTGAAAAATGGTGAGAAACTTCCTATTTTGGGTGCTGTAATGACAAAACGGCCAACCGGTGTTGCAAAGGGAATGCCAACGCTGCCTGGAAAAGTTGCGGGCAAGAAGATTATGGTGTTAAGAGATACCGGTAGCTCCACTCTTATCGTGCAGAGAAATTTGGTACGGGAAAGTGAGTTAACAGGCCAAACGAAACCGGTTTGTCTAATTGACTGTACGGTTCAGATGCTTTCCGAAGCAGAGATTGAGGATAAAACCCCTTACTTCAGCATGAATCTGGCTTGATAATTTCACGAATTCGTATCTGTCGCGGTTTCGCATCACTGAGACTCTACTGTAGGTTTATATGAACACCTCCCAAATTCGTTTATGATGCGGCGGAGAAAGAGGAGGAAAAAAATCTGTCACGGAGTGGTGGTTGTTAGAAGAGGAAAGAAAGGCGCTTAATCTTTGCAGACCGGTAGAAAGCACGGCGCAGCGCTTCCGCGGAGAGTTGCCTCTCTCTCAAATGCCGATCTGCGACGCGCCGGTGCCATGGCTCCCTCTTTTTTTGTCCCTGACACGTAGAAGTGTGGCCGTTTGGGCTAGCTGGTATGACATGACGATAGTTATAGCGCGAGCACAGAACGACGACAAAGAACGAGAAGGATACGTCTCTTTGTCATCATTCTGTTCTCACGCTATAACTGATTGATTGATTTGATTGATTTGTGGGGTTTAACGCCCTAAAACTACCATATGATTATGAGAGACGCCGTAGTGGAGGGCTCCGGAAATTTCGACCACCTGGGGTTCTTTAACGTGCACCCAAATCTGAGTACACGGCCCTACAACATTTCCGCCTCTATCGGAAATGCATCTCACGCTATAACTATCGACCCGTAGAAACCCTTCTCTTTTCAACGCCGCGTGCGAAGAGAGCAAGAAAAAAAAAAACTGCCGCGGAGTGTTCGTTATCTCTCGAACGTCGATCTGCTTCTCTCCTCATGAAAGCACTCCTCCTTTATCGTCACGTGCTGGCTACGCTGCAGCTGCGGTGCAACGGGTAGCACGGAGATGCAGTCCTTGTCGTCATCTTATGTTGGATACAACTTGATAAGGCAGGAGAGGCCCCACCCAGATGAACGAAGCGCTGCAGCCAATTCGCTCCAAGACTAAAGAAATAGTACCGCTCAAAAAATTGTGACTGCTTCTAAAACGCGTATTTGTCAGTATAAATAAGATTTGTCTATTGTGACGAGTGCTTTGATAAGACTGTAATGATGAAAATGCTACAGCACATTCCGAATTACAACAGAAAAATAACTCGGTGCCGTGTACAATGCCGTGCATCGTCTGCTACGGAGCAAGGTCGACGGCACCGGGTGAGTAATTGTAAAGCAGTCACTGGCTTCATAGCATAAGATTCGTATGTACTTTTTGTGTGTTTGCACAAGCTTCTTTTTGTTTTTTTCTGTTGCGAACGTGTAATCTCCTGAGTTCGCGCACGTTGGCACACGGCCTTCCGTGCCCGAGGTAATCAATTATACAAGTTGCAAAACTGCGATACAAAATCCGGACACGCAGTTGGCACAATTTTTGGGTAGTTAGCCAACGTTCGCGCCACATTGGGAGTAACAACACAAAACACAGATAATGCGTTTATTAGTGGGCGTGCAGATCAACAGGTTGCACGACAATCTTTTCACTCCTGACAAGGGGGTCAATGACGTGTTCGGATTTCGATCCATGGAGCCTATTGAGAGTTTCACAACTCATATGATTGAATAACTCTGTTCCGTGCAAGTTCACAGTAGATACCAGGCTTTGGCAAACTCTCCTCATCGTAACTTCACTTAGGTGCGAATAAAACACCATGAAACAAACACGCAGAATGTTTGTTTGCATCGGTATGTCGCCACGAGATCCTGTTTCCAGAGGAAGTGCAGCGCAGACATTGATGTTCGTTGCAATCTCTCTTCGCCGGCTCACGGCTCAGAACAAGCACACGCGGCACAAATTGTGTATCGTAAGCTCACAATGATATTTCCGGCATGACAGACCATCTCACATAATTTGAATCCACTCTGATGAAGGGAGACGCACACAGTCTACAGGACTCGGCCCAGTTCGAAGCGAGGGCGGATATGTAAGGCATGTTCTCCGTCGGATGGGTCTGCGGCTAGTTGGCGCATGACGTCACCTGAAGTGCGTGTCTATTGGTGGAGGCTCGTGTACATCCACCTTTGAGGGGAAACCGCTGCTTTCATAAAGAGACCCTGCAACACTTTTTGAGCATGGTCAGAAAATGCAGCCGATCGGTAGTAGAGGCTCCCGACAACACGCGAGCCAATTATTATAGCACAACACGCGACCTGGAATTCACAATAAATGATCAAATTCAACAAAAAATTGGTTTCTCTTCTCTTGAAAAATCACGCAATAAGCCCAAAAATCACTCGTAGGAAGCCCATCTATCAGCCATTGCCTGATTTGAACATGGCGCACTCGGTTGTTACAGAGATTGCCGCGGGAGGCCATCACTTGTCCACGCGTACACACGCCATCGCACCGAAAAGCCACGTAATAAAACAAAAAAAAGAAGGAAGTGCTCAAGGTCACGAGGGGCGCATGTCGTTTTTTTCCCCTCTCATCTCTTTTTGCTTAGCTTCCAGCGCTTTCGTCAGGATGAGAGAAGAGAAAATGAGATTGCAGCGTGTGACAAATCTTTTTAACTGAGTTCGTACTGATGGATTCTTAAAATTTTTGCGGCATGGGTTTTGCGAGGCAATAGGCTTTTCCAGTGAATATTTCCATGGTTACTCACAAAAGTGTTTCAGGGCCCTTTCAAGTTGTACCAGACTATATGTTATAGGCCTGTTTGCAGGAAGGTAAAGAATTCTCTCATTGAACTCGACCGCTGTCTCAAGTAATTAAAACATTAATTATAGTTATTTATATACTGCCGCAATTACAGTGTCTAGCGATTTTATGATTTCTGACGTCAAGCCGGGAGCCGCATAAAACTGCCTAATGTTACGAGCCGCGTCGGTGGCCGCAGAGTACCCTGTAGGCAGCAAGGAGCTGGGTGGTGGTCGTCATTCCCCAAGCCACGGGGACCGGACGTAGAGGAAAACTTAACAAGACGTTCATTTACAACATGTCGAACAGTAACGTCGGAACGACGACTCTTTTGGCGTCTCTCTTTTTGTGCCTTCTGGCGTGCTGCTCCCGCTGCCCGCCGTGCAGTTCCGAAAATAAGGGCTGAATGTCACTTCGGGGAACCAAGGACTCATGGAGAGCACAACACAAGACAAGAATCCCTTTCATGCACATGGCAGACGCACGTGGCCCACGCGCAGGGACTTGAAGGCGACCACGCAGGAGGAATTCGCTGCAGTCGCCCTTGCAGCACACAACTGGCCTTCCGCACATTCCAGAGGGACCCGCTCGTAGCCCCTGCCCCGCAGGCGAAACGCACAGCCGAGACAAAGACAGCCGGTGCAGGTGACAAACCCGTACCCCACAAAAGAATGTCCGAGATGACGGGAAGTCACGCTTAGGGGCAGCTGGCCCAAGGACTTCGTTACTGCTTTGTAACACTAGCGAGCCGCATACGACTCGCCGGCCGCAGGTTGCGGAACCCTGAGATGGGCGGTTTGGTGCAGTTTGGTGCAATTTTCGTCGATTTTATCAGGTTGGCGTAGCAAATCTCGTTTGGCGCACTTAGCGCAGTTGGCGCAGAAGTGGAATCCCTGAGTCTGCTAACTCTCTTCACTGAGTTGAGCCTGTAACTGTAGGGCTAAGTTTTTGTTGTAACGCATCGTTTGCACTATGGCCAATCACAATCAAGCACTACAAGCTGACCCAATTTCATACTGGCAGTTCAGAAAGTTATGAGAAAAAAGCAGGTTATTAGCACAACAAAATGTGACATATGCAAGAGAAAACACAATGCAAGCAAGAATTGCACGCACCTCATCATACTTCTGCTCCAGAAGCTTCTTCTCCCCTTCCTCATCCTGCAATTTGGCCTGCAGTTCCTTTAGCTTGACTTGCATCTGCATAACAGCGGAGCAGCAGTAGTGAAGTGAACACAATAGCTTTACCAAAAAAGCCCAACACTCTGCAGCATCGTGTTTCCTTCCATAATTTACGCCTTCATATACTTTGCACACCACCAGTATTTAGCCAGCTTTATCCCCTCCCCCCCTTCCGAAAAAAACAAAAAAAACTGTGTGCTCACATAATTTGTGATGCTCCCATCTCCCCTGAGCCAGCTTGCCAGCATGTGCACAAGGAGACCTTGGATCATTGAATGCTTTGGACGGGCACACTTCACGCCGAGCAGGGGAGGACAGTTACACACAAAACAAGCTGCGAGCGTGCAAAGTTTTTTCTTCCGAGGACCTCACCCTATCTGCGATCTCTAGAATACCGTACACGCACTCAAACCTGTTCGACAGGCTGTTAGAACTGCTCGAGCGTTTGCCTCCCTCTATCTCGCCCATCATTTCGACCGTGAGAATGCATGCTCGCAACATGAAACAGACTATTTTCCATCCCGGACGCATGCGAGGGCCTCTAGCTCCAACTATACCCCACCTTCTCTGTGTCCACACTACCAACGCACGCTTGCTTGACTTTGAAAGCTGAGGTTTTGCCGTACATTTGTCGCGTTTTTTAATGTTTCCTTGCGATCAGCCACCATAATTATATATACGATGAAAGTTAAGCCCACTGTTAAAAAGTTTTCCGAGGAAAACAGGAACTGTGCCGCCGCCGAGCACTTCAGTGTGAAGTTTTTGAAGTTTAAAATTTAGCGCGTGAGAAAGCAGAGGAGCGTGTGCTTGCTAATAAAAATTTTCTGCCACTGATGAAGACTTTTTCAATTATGTGTTAAGTCCTCCAGTATCGCCATGTCGTTGGACCCGGTTTCTTTCACTCTATTGTGACGTCCCCGCAAACACGGACTGAACCCCGCTCCTTTCAAGTTGTTTTCGTTCGGTTCTCAAACCCACGCTTAAAAAAAAAGGAAAAGAAAACCTTCGGTGTAACGAATAGGCATTCAGGAGTGAAGTACCAGAAGGATTATTTCTACTATTCTCACGGGCTCCCCCACGCAGACACGAGGACTGGACGACGCCTCGTCTACAGACCATGTGACAGTGTACGGTGGAGATAATCGGCGCGCACCCTTCAGATTTGTGGCATGGGGGAGCAGCAGAGCACCTTTTGTTGGTTCGGGGAATGCGACTCTGCCACGGCAGCTGTGCCGGGTCCAGTATGACTTTCCGTCAGCCTTAACGAAAGTAATGTACAACAACCTCGGAAGAGAGCAGCGCTTCGAGATATGTAATAGTGCACTTCAAGTTGTAAAAGACTATGTCTACTTAGGGCAAAACATAACCGCGAAGCCGAACCACGAGATTAAAGTAACTAGAAGAATAAGAATGGGGTGGAGCACATTTGGCAAGCACTCTCAAATTATGACAGGTAGATGGCCACTATCCCTCAAGAGGAAGGTATATAACAGCTGTATCTTGCCGGTAATTAGCTACGAAGCAGAAACCTAGAGACTGACAAGAGGGTTCAGCTTAAATTGAGGACGACGCAGCAAGCAATGGAAAGAAAAATGGTAGGTGTAACCTTAAGAGACAAAAAGAGAGCAGAGTGGATTAGGGAACAAACGGGGGTTAAGGATATCATCGTTGAAATCAAAAAGAGGAAATGGACATGGGCCGGGCATGTAGGGCATAGACAGGACAACCGCTGGTCATTAAGGGTAACTAACTGGATTCCCAGAGAAGGCAAGAGGGTTAGGGGGAGACAGAAAGTTACGTGGGCAGATGAGATTAAGAAGTTTGTGGGTATAAATTGGCAGCAGCAAGCATAGGACAGGGTTAACTGTCGGAACATGGGAGATGCCTTTGTCCGGCAGTGGACGTAGTTAGGCTCATGATGATAATGAAGTTGATTGATGATGAAGTTCTGTTTCTGGTCTACATTAATGACATTGTCAATGTAATTAGCACCCCAGTACAAATTTGTCTATTTGCTGACGATTGTGTTTTGTCTAGAGATGTAACCTGCATTAGTGACCAATGTGACCTTAATACTAACTTAGGCAATGTATCAAAATGGTGTGAACAATGGGGAATGCTTCTTAATGCAAACAAATGTGTGTATCTCCCCATAACGCGGAAAAAAGTCCCATTAGACTACACATACAATTTAACTGAAGCACCTTTACTTAAAGTAGCCTCCTATAAATACTTAGTCTTAACTTTAACAAGTACCTTATCCTGGAATTTGCACATAAATAACACCTGCTCTGCCGCTTTCCGTAAATTATGCCTTCTCCACCACAAGCTCAAGACTGCTTCGCCTAGCGTTAAACTCCTCTCCTACTTTACCTTAATTAGGCCTAAACTTGAGTACACCTCCATAGTTAGGGATCCCCACAAAAAATTAACGTTCAAAACCTAGAAAGAATTCAAAGAAAAGCAGTACGATTCATATATAGTAAACTTATGTCAACCGACTCCCCCACTGCATTACTAACGACAAATGGTATAGAACTATTACAAAATCGAAGAAGAAAAAAGTTGGCTACAGTTTCTCTCTGACATAGTAAACCACAGGCTACCCTTAGACACCGCAGCATAAGTATCCCCCTTGTTAAGCAGACCCACTCGACACCACTACCCTCATTCCTTAACACCAATCTTCGCAAGGACTGATACTTTTCGGTACTCCTTCTTCCCACAATAGATGATTGGAATAAACTAACCGCAGCATTTCCTCAACGCCCTTGACCTTTTGTGTAAATACTCTTCTTCCATGACTTCCTTGAATTGTATTATCACCTTGTTGTTCAATTGTTACTTTTTTTAAAGTCATAACCCCTCTGTCTTATATGCAAAAAATTTGTGTAAAAAACGCTTTGCGACCTTGTTTCATTCTGTTACTTAGTGTTTTTTCATGTATGCTCACCCTGCTTGGACTGTTTGATCGCAGTATTCAATAAATAAATAAAAATAAATAAAAGACATTTTCTGCCACTCCATGTTGTGCGTGAGAGTACTTTCAAATGTTCATTGTTTTCAGACACTTGCTTTTGAGGTACTTGATATTCTGTATAAATGTGAGCTTTGCATCGAAAATAAGTCCCACAAATTTATGCTCTGTTTTGACAGGCAAGTGTTGACCTTTCATAGCAATGTGTGGATCGGGGGGGCAGGCCTCTCTTGAAAAAAGTATGCACCAGCTTTTTTGTGGGTTCAATCTGAACCCATTCTCTTCTACCCAGTTGATGACTTCGTTAAAACTGCGCTGCAGCTGATGCAGACAACTCGCCAGGGAGCACGATTTAAACCCTATCTGTACGTCATCAACATAAGTTCAGTAATATACATTGTGTGGGTGGACAGACGTAAGGAGTTGATTTTTACAATAAAAAGAGTACAACTGAGCAAAACTTTTTTTGCACCTAGTTGGTTTATGATCATAGAAGTACTTTTACAGCATAAACACAGACACACCACAAAGAAAGCAACAACACAAACGAGCACTGCGTTTGTTTGTGCCATCGCTTTCTTTGTGGTGTGTCTTTGTTTGCAGTGTAAAGGTATCTCTATGAGTACAACTGAGCACTCCACCTTGTGGCACTCCGGTTTCCTACTCAAACTCTCTCAATAAAGCATTGCCGACGCGCACTTCCGTTCCAATTTATGGTCCTCTATCTTTGCCTTATACTGTTTGAATGCTTCAGAATAATGTGACAAACTGGATACATGCTCAAAATGTGCGCCAAGCAAGTTTGCTTGGTCATCTAAGCTGTTGCCCAATGTGTTTATTAATGGAAGTGAATACGTTTCTCAGCCTCTTCCCCTATTTACCCGGTTCCAGACCCCGACTTTATGAGTGTAGGATTCAATGCTTGATATTGTCGGGGTGCAACGCGAACAAAAGAGGGAGACGTTGACACAGCGATAACAGCGGGTTCTCAGCAGCCGAACAGCCAAATCACCTTCTTCATCCTCTAACAACCACAGCGTGTCTACCAATTTGGTATTTCTAAACTTTCTGACTTTTCCAGGTTCTCCATGATGATTAAAAGCAAATTCCACGACCGCCACGTCTGCTTGAAAAACTCTGTGCACTGAAAAAAAAAAAAAAAAACCCTCGAGTGGTAACGAAAAATCAGGCGCTCCATATAAAATAAGTAAAAGTACTTACCAGACGCACTCAGAATTTCCTGAGCACGTGCGATAAATGTGAAAAATATGTATATCTGGCCAAAATAAAACCCCTGAGCCGGCAGTGAGAAAGTCAGCTCTTTGATGTTTGGAAGAACAACGAAGCAAACACCTCGTCAAGGTAACTACAGATGAAAGTTTGAAGGAGCCTGCGATAGTCCAACATCGCAGTGAAAGCTGCTACGAAACATAGAAGTGGTGCCACCTCGCAGCACCTGTGCAAAATGAGGACACTGGAGCAAGACCAGTTCTACCACTAGAGTATAATCTAGTTTCCTACAATGGCCATAGCCCAAGCCGCTTAGGATTTGGAATGAATAGAATTAAATTAGATCGACCTGAACTGCTGTATTTACTGACTGCAACTATTTAGGATGTGGATTAGATCTGACACGAACTGGATTGCTGTACTACTTACTATTGATTTGCATACCCTGTCTAACTTTCGCACCTCCAAATATACTTTTGGAGGTAAAAATAAAATCAATAACTACAACCCGCGTATTCTCTGTATCTTGCCTTGACAACGAGTAACGACAATGTTGTATATGTATAATTTTCCACCTGCATGGTCCTTTGTGACGGCAGTATACTGTAAACAAATAAATAAAGAACAGAGCTGCACTGCAAAATTTTCCTACTTTCTTTTTCTGACAAGCACATCAATGTTTCTATTTTCTGTCTCTGGGCCCTGACCCTTGAAGTGCAACGGAAGTTCTCGGGCAGCTGCAACAAAAGGTGGGGACGGCATTTAAAGTGCCGATGTTCCAATATGTGGCAGCAAGAAGGAATCTGTCAAG